TTTCCACGTCAGCATCTTATGACAAGTAAAGGACTATTGCCCAAGTTTTCACTAGTTTACAGTGACCAAAAAAACTCCGGCAAGTTGTGGCATTGAGTCTGTGTTTTCACACCTTCCATGTGCATTTCATATTTCTTCACTTCCGACAGAAAGATTGCATGAAAAGGCTTTGGTAATGACAAATAAAGGACTATATTGCCCAAGTTTTCAAAAGTTTACAACTTAATTGACCAAAAAAAACTCCGGTAAGTTGTGGCATTGAGTCTGTGTTTTCACACACCTTCCATGTGCATTCCGTATTTCTTCACTTCCGACGGAGAGATTGCATGAAAAGGCTTTGGTAATGGAGTACGACGACCAAGAAATTCATGACACACGCGTTTCATTACGCCACATGTTTCTCCATGTCACCATAACCATATTCATCGATCATCCAAACCTGATGTTGGACAATCTCTGGGTTAAGCCCATGCCTATCTGGCTATCTCCCTACTTTGCATAGAATCATGACTTTTCATCAAGATGAATTTTTAATTTCCTTTTAAACTAGGAGGAATCATGTGTTTTTTAAGGGTTATATTTTTTTAAAAAATATTGTATAATTACGATTATATTAAATAGCATAAAATTTAATGTATATTGTGATACAATGCATTTTATAATTTTTAATCTCTTATTTTAGTGTTGGTTTTGTTACTATTTAGATGGATAAGATGTGATTTTTAATTAATTTTACATAAATTTTATTTTTTGTATAAAAAAGAATTTGAATGCATAATAATAGAGAGTTTTGGATTTCATTGAATATCTTTTAAAAGTTGAGTGCTGCATTTGAAGAAGATAGGTAGCTTTTAGGGACTCAAATGAATGTATTCGACATCATAGGATCAAATTGTTCATTCTATAAAAGTAAAGGACCAGATCGGCTAATTTACCATTGAGGAACTTGCAAAAAGATTCAAAAAAAAAAAAAAAATCCGACGCCAGTATGGTGTCGATACCACTTGGTAGGTATCGACACCATGCCCTAAGCCTTTGGAAGTCATGCCCGTGAGATAAACAGACGTACAGACACCTATTTGGGGTGTCCACACTCCAAGCACTTATAGCTCTAAAAGTTCAAATTTTTGTCGCGGATTCTATTTTTATTAATAGATTTTCTTAAGATTTATAAATATTCATTTAAGATCAGATTTTAGAAACTTTTGGAGACTAAGAGGAATGATAAGGAAGATTTCAATATCAAAAGAAAATTAAAGATTGAAATTTCATATGGTTAAATTTATTATTTTATATAGAATATATATTATTATTTTTAATAATATTTAATAATTGATCACTATTAAAATTAATTTAGAGAATATAATTAAGATTAAGATAAGATTTTTTTGTAATAATTTTTAGTAATATATATCACGAATTCAACAAAAATCAAAGATGAACCAATTTAATTTGTGTAGCATTAATGATAAGTAGAGTTTTACAAAATATAATATATTTTTATTTATTTAAATTCACATAAAAATATAATAGATTAATGAATTGTGAAAATATATTAAATAGGTCAAAAATATCTACTATTACATGAATAATAAAAACTTTAAATGTATATTAATTCAATTTTATATTAGTTGATTATGATAAAATAAAATGTTTTAAAATTTCAATAGTTAGTGTCACTTAAAGTCAATTTAAGTTCCTATTTAGTATAATTTTGATTTTGAGTTTTTATTTTTTGAGTTTTTATTTTTTATGTATTTAGCAATTATTATTATATTTATAAATAAAAAAATTTATCATAAAAATTTAAATTTACTACATTTAATTTAAATATAATACTAGATACTAGTAAATATATAAAAAAATAAAAATCAAAATTTTAAAATCAAAATTATATTAAAAGAAGTCTTACCTTTTTTTTTAAATTAGCATAACTAATTAATTTACTTACATAATTTAATTTTAAATATTCAAATAAAATTAAAATTAATTAATTTTAATACTTAATTAATTTACAATATATGAAATGATATTTAATTAGTATTATTATATTTCTTAAAAATATTAATACTTTTTGTTAGAATGAAATCAACTCATCATGCTTAATAAATATTCCCCTTAACAATTTTCACCAAATAGCCATTGGGTCAGTGCCGTGGCTTTCGTGTCAAAGTGATTGGGCCTAAGTAACATCGTACATTTAAAGCCTACGGAATACATATATTTCTCAAAAATAAAAAATAAAAAGTCTAATACATATACAAATACAATGCCTTGAAACGACATCATTTTGGTTACTGCGACTTAATTTCATCTTCCTCAACTACTTTCGTCCTGTGCTCCCTATTGGACTTCCGGATAACTCCTCAAATGGGTTCTCTTCTCGGCGCAGAGCTTCAATCAACCCCCAGTTAATAATAACAAAGTGAATCACAGATTTTCCTCTTATCTTGTCAAAGCAGCAAAAAAACTGCCACTCGTTCCACCCAATATCTAACCGACGAAGATTACAAATTTCTCAGCGGTGGTCCGTATTAGCTCGTTGACTTCTGGAGCTCACAGGACCCATCAAGAGCAGCCACGACCAGGCTCACCACCTTGACAAAATTATAGGTATTTAACAAATTTTAAAAACTTTCCCCAATTCCCATCTGGGACCTGGGTTGAAATTAGAATTGAATATTTTATTGACTTCCTTGATTGATTGCAATCAAATAAGAATTGGGTATTTAACAATTCTAGTAACTGAAGAAATAAGATGAGCAGATATGCTATTTAAGCTGCATATTAACAATCAAATGAATCAATGAATTCTAAAATAAGTTTGGAAAAACATTAATTCACTGTTTAGTTTGCGACAAATGATTTCTGGGATCTCAGACTCTGTTAACTTATTGATGTATATATAAAAAGTGAAATATTTATTAGCTAGACATACGTCACGGGTACTTCTTTTATTAATCAAAGGAGGAAGGAAGTTATTTTATTGACAATCCTTATCAAAACAAGGTAGTCTTTTGATTCCTAGAATTAGACATCAAGAACTTCATTTGAAGAACCAGGATACTTGACCTGATTACTTGAAACTTTTGGTTGAAATTCTGTTCCATTTTTCATCTCCAACTCACTATTCATCAGTTCTGATAGAGAAATAGCTGGAAAAGGCTTCCAAAGTGGCTTCTGGCGGGCAACAAATTGTTGAGACACAAATTTCATTGTTGGCCTGGACTTGGGTTTTGCACGCACACAAGCAAATGCAAGTGTAGCAGCAACCACAATATTTTGGGTAAGATTTCTAGTTCTTGGAGGGGATAGACGCACATCTAATATGTCGCTTAGCATCACATTTTGCAAACAAGATGATGATGGTGATGATGATGATGATGATAACAGCATCAAAAGTTCTTGAGGATGTCTTCCCATTAATATTTCTAATGCCACAACTCCAAAGCTATAAACATCAGATTTCTCGGTCATGGCTATCGTATAGGCAAGCTCTGCATACACCAAGCACACACTTTAACACAACAATTTAACAATAGTAGAGGGTGAAATAACATAAAAGAACAAGAGTGTTAATGGAGAAAACCTGGGGCAATATAACCATGAGTGCCAGCAAGTATAGTACAATTGGATGAATCAGGATGCAAAAACCTAGCATTTCCAAAGTCAGCAACAAAAGCCTCTAGTTTTGAGTTCAAAAGAATATTGTTGCTTGATATGTCTCGATGAAGAATGGGTGGGGTGCAATCATGATGAAGGTAAGACAAAGCTTGTGACATGCTTTTGATGATGTTCACCCTTTTGAGCCAATCCAATTCCACAACTTCATCATCAGTTCTAAGGACACAAAACAAGCTTCCTCTGCTCATATATTCATAGATCAAAAACTTGCATCGCTTGTGCAAACAAAACCCATAAAGCTTCACAATGTTTCTATGTTTTATTTCTGTTAGCACTCTAACTTCATTCCTAAAACTCTTGTTAAAAGCTGGTTCCTCAGCCTCTATTAGATGAAGTTTCTTCAAGGCAACTACTTTGCCATTTGGCAACTGTGCTCTGTAAACGCTACCATAGCCACCAGTGCCAATGCAATATTTGATGTCAAAATCTTCGGTTGCTTCAATGATGTCCTCATATGCAATCCTTCCATCGAAATTCCATATTGAGAATATATCTCCATTTTTGGTTGGACCTTGATCTCCCTCCTTACGTTTAGCCCTGGATATTCGTTGATAAAGACACAAAACCACCAGACATACCAAGACAAAAAAAATGGCAGAAGATAAAAGGAGAAGAATGGCAGCATCCATGCCCAACACTTTTCCTCTTGTTTCTCTACGTATGGTGGGGGGGGGGGGGGTGTGGAGGAGGCCTTTCAAAAGCAAAAAAAGTGGGGGGATTGAGGAGCAGGAATTCGCACTGGATCCATGTTTGTCAACAAATGAAATCTTTGAAAATGAAGCAATTAGTTATCCTGGATTTAAACTGAGAGATTATTGTAACTGAGATCTAAGTCCTCCAAGCACGAAGCAAGTTATAATTATTGTAGTCAAAGTCTTCTCTTAAGTCTTTCAGTTGTGTAGTACATCTTCACTTTTGTTAAGGGGGACCCAATCCTGTTACATGGAAGTCAAGCCAATAGAGAGTGGAAATTTATTCTTTGGCAAGTAAGGTTGAGAATTAGTCCAATCTACGGAATCCAATCCCTTCGAGTAAATACTGATGGCTAGAACGCATGTTCCTGATGAATTTCCATAGTTTATTACAATTTACACCAAACGTGGTTTCTAGGCAAATTCGGTGCCTCTCATTACTAAATTCACTCTTACGTTTTAAACAAAAAAAAAATTTAAAAGAAGGCATATTTTGTTGTAAAATAGAGAAAGAATTAATTGAAAGAAGAAAAAAAATTAGAGAGGTAAAACGAGATAATGTAAAAATATATTATTTTTTCATTTTAATCTTCTCCATATACTTGTAAGAATACAAACCCTAGATAAAAGGGTTAATGGGTAATATAAGTTATAAGAATTAAACATTTACTAAATGAAAAGTTATAAAAATTAATCGCCTACTAATAAGTGAGTTAGAAGAAAGTTTATTATTACCATCTAAATATATAACATTATAATCTGTTAATTACTATTGTAATTACATGAAAGTAGTAAAAATTACACAATTATTTAGTGCATAAATGCCATAAAGAATAAAAAAGTAAGAGACAAAAAAAAAAAAAATTCACAATAAATTAATTCATAACAACTCCTTTATTTTTTTATCCGAACTCTTTTATGATGCCTCAATTTTGTCTGTACTGTTTCCTCATGGTTCTCAGGGCGAACCATAAAGAAAAAGAGCCTAACGTGGCCATCGGCCAAGGACCCGAGATCTTGGCAAAACATGCAGATCACCCCCTTAACTCACTGATTGGTGGCAAATCACCCCATCAACCCACTTCAAGCGCAAATCAACCCCCTTAAACTCACATGCAGTGGCAAATCAGCCCCTCTATTAAGGCTGACATCATCATTTCGTTAACTTTTAACTGTTCGTTCATCCGTTCATCTGTCCCTCCTCCACGTTTGATGTGGCTTTTTTTTTTTTTGCTGAGATGGATGTTGAGATGTCTCTCGGCCCCATCACCACCTCCTCTGCTTCCAGAGCACTCTTCAAGTGGGTCCTACATATACCACCACCACCGATTTCGCAGCCTCTACATCTTTCAACAAGAAGAAAGGGAGGTTCTCGTTAATCTCAAACCTTTTCAGGTCCAGATCCGACAAATTGATTTTGGATCCTAGGGTTGATCCTCATCGGGATTCTTACGAGGAGCCATTGTCATCTCCGTCCTCCTCTTGGTTCTCAATGATCTTCTCTGAATGCTGAAAAAAGCAACAATCGAGAATGTTCTACATGGACATGGAGGAACTAGCTGTTGGCGAACAAAGATCTTGTAGGGTGGTTGATCAAGGAATGTCGCATGTTAGGAGTGAGAATACCGAGGACGAGGGCAGTGATTGAGCGACGTATGGGAGCTCGCAGGAGGCATTGCCTCGATGGCGGTGGCGGAGGACACCAGTGGCTTGTCGACGAGGGAAGGCAGCTTGTGAGCAGGGCA